GGAGTTGTTTTGTTCGGGAGACTAAAGCTGAGGAACAACGTGCGAAACACAGAGTGAAACATGCGCAGAATAATGTATAATTCGATAGAGTGAATGTGTGCATGTTACAACAATCGAAAAGACTCAAAGTGCAAACTGATTCGGAAGCACGCCTAGCAAATTGACTACAGCACCTAACAATTCGTAAAACGATATGGATGGACGAAACTTATTCTGCGTTTTGGCTAACGATAGCTACTCGACCCCAAACGTCTGTGCGGAATTACGGATTTACTTAAACACCCGGAGTTTATTACAAGCTTTCTCCCCAAAAAGCCCCAAATATCTGCTTAAAGACACTGCGATATGGCGGAAGTGTCTCACCACTCAAACATTTCACTGCCCCCTACACGCATTGGTAAATTGACCGATATTACATTTCACAACTTCTGTGCACACGTTTTCTCTCACACGACTATGCATACATGTTTGATCAGTGACATGCCACCATGCTTAAAATACATTCAAACATTTTCCTCATGCTACGCTCATCAGACCAACACTGTTTGAACAAACTCTTTGTAACTGTTCCCCACCAACCTACGCTACCCTAATCGCCTCTGTAATACCTATGTACATATCACGCACTCTTCGAGGGTAAACCTCATTCAATCTTTGGGCCATGCGGGTCTATAATACTTACTAAATCTGTATCATTCCTGACAATGTTCCTACTCATCATGCTCTCCTGTACAACATTGCACTATTGGTATCAAGCCAAATAAATGTTCCCCGCTTTATCGAGAATAAAATATTTACCAATTTATAATTTTAAGCTTCCGTTTATCTCCATTTATCTGCAATAATGTTGACATTATGGCTTCCAAAATAGTCGACGAGTGCCGTTTGTAATACCGTTTATACTTACATTTCAGATATGAATACTAAAGCAGTTGAACCAGCATTGGCGAAATTTGTAGACTTCGAGACCGCATACAATTTAAGCATACACCGCTCCAATAGCAGCCAGCACTGAAAACGAACAGCATTTTGCTTAACAACCTCTGAAACATATGCAATTCTACGTGCCTTCACGGCCAGCAATCAACGGTTTCCTCACATATCTGCAATCTGTTTTACCTGACTACCATCTTTTGAACTGAAGTTTTGTTTTTATTTACAAGAGTAGTTACAAGACTAACTATCTATTTGGGTCAAGAAAATTAAGTTTAAACCGACACTAGCGTAAATACAATACAATGCACTAAATACCTGTCATTGTCCCTGGCCCAGTGATATCCATAAATTTGAATCACACATCCTCATTTCTTTATCTTATTGCACTTTTTATTTCTCTGTTACTTTGTGCGCAATGAACCTTACTTTATGGTGTATCAGAAATGTGGTATTTAAATGTTGTACATAATGTAGTTATTCTCTAAAGATCAAGATTGCCTATGTAAGAATTATTCACGTTTGTTCAACATGCGTTCATCTATTGAATGATTGGTCTTACAGGTTACAAACGAACTTTATATGTTTTACACCACAATACATTCTGACCACAGGTTTAGGACTCCTCAAGTTCTATTGCTATGATTGCATATCCTGAGACAACTTAACACGAAAGATATGGTTTAAATAGCGCGATTCACAGCTGATGCACATTCATTTTAGAAAGCCAGTTGCTAAAAGCAGTTTTTCAAATGTTCAATAAAATATACAAATCGACCTTTGTTAATTCGCCATAATAGAGAAACTAAGCAATAACAAAATAAATCCTTGTAATTTCATGGATCAATATAAAGAAGCTATGCTACTACATAGCATACGATTACTGGAATTAAGGGAATAATGTGGCCAGCACTTATCCAAACCTGCATTTGAAAGCTGAGTCAATTTCTCAACACACTAAATCAGAATGCAAAATAATTAGCTCTGATGAACAAAACCGCGCACTCTTGCAAATGGTTCAAATGATGCATAAGCAAATCATCTGAAGTAGCTAGCTCAAATATATTAGTTGGCTTGATAGCAGTGAGAAGTTTCGTTACCTCAAAACGTGCTGTCAACAGGTTATGTCTCTGTTGCAATTAGTAAACTAGCAGCCTCAAAAAGTTAAAATAAGTTCATTTGCGTTAGTTTCCCAGCGAGTTCGCAAGTGAATTTTATCCGTTTTTTAGAGCGATTAATATTTTTGAGTTGCAGCAAAACTAACACTCGACGCGTTACGATTTATGCGACAATAACGTTTTACACATTTCTTTCGCTTTCAGACAATAAGCGCAACCCTCACCAAAACGAATGTTGACTTCTTCGTGTGTCCTCAAGTCAACCGCCCTCCTAATGTCGACAATAGCCTTGCCTTCCTTGAATTATCATATACTTGTGTTTGAATACCTGCTCGTGATGCGCAACTCTTCTAGACTGACGACTGGCAAATTTCTTTGATTTTCATATCAGTTTGATTGAGGAAAATGTAATGTTTTCGTACTGATCCTATGAAAGTGTGTTGCAACTTTATTTCGCAACGGTATTTTGTATGCACTTCGAAGAAGGGTATCAGAAGCAAACTAATTTCACCTCATGCTTGAGTCAATTATAGCACAACATAAACTCAGCGTTCCATATGCAGCTAAACGCGCAGTTGCCACATAAGTAAACAAATAAAAACGAATATTTTTGCAAATTAACAGGCTGTTACCACGGGAACATATAAACAAGGTGATCAGCCACCTGAAGCGAAACATATTTTGATTGCAGGAGAAAATAAAAAAAGTATCTCGTTAATTGTCTTCAGTAATATTAACACATTTTTGAATGTGATATGCTAGTGTTGTAGTTTGGTTTCAAATGTTTGTCACCAGACGGTGAAAAATAATAAAATAATCATATACGTTCCTCTGAGAATCTTGAACTCCAAGCCCAACATTGTAGAACATGCTTGATTTACTCTGACTTAGAATCTGACCACCTCTTATAAGCCAACTATATGTATAGGTTTAATACAATTGAAACAGTTGTGAACAGAAAGGACGGCGGTGTTTATTAAATATATGACATATTTACTGCATGTATATGGTAATTTCTGATTAGAAGTGTTTCGTCGCTTCACTTAAGTAACAGCTAGAAGCAGACATTTTAATATGTGTGCATTTAGTGATTGCTATTAAGCACGAAACTTATAGTTTCACAGAAGAGATTGCTGATAACTTGTCACCTTAAACATTTGAACTTGACCAATTTAACCTAAAATAAATAGTGAATACATGCCTCGCTTATATATATATATCTAGGAAACGGACAACAAATTATTAGTAAACCACCTTCATTTTGCAAAGCTGAGTTTTAATCCATGAATGAGATTTTTATATTTCGTGAGTAAAATACCAAGTCGCACTTTCAGCAAGGAGATTTGATGGACTAGAGAAGGAAAAAACGTAATGTGACCAACGCAGCGCTAATGGCAAATCATCTGGTATATAAAAATAAACTGCTTACCCTCATGTTCGTGAAAAATGTTATCGTTAAATGACGCATTCGCTTGCTTTGTGTAATCCCTAACTATCAATGTTGGTTGCATTCTGAAAATGACAATCGGCATTCGCTGTACCCAGAAAGAGCTGATAATCATCAACCGAACACTATTCGCCGATCAACCGCTGGACATTCAAGCTAATGCATGCAGAGTATACAGTCGACATATAAAGACGCCGGTTTACAAAGCTTTCGCATAATCGAGACAGGCAGTTTTTGGCACTTTTCTTAACATACATCAAAGATCCGTAGCAGTACATTCTTAAAACTTTAAAGATTCACCAATTATACTAGTGAGGATTTATGTGATGCATTCGGAATCCATAGAATCTGCGTGAACTTAGCTTCATTTTGCCTCTTTCGGTATCCAACACGCGGATTATTTGCGCCACACAGTTCTAACCGGTGTTTTAATAATGCACTGGTTATCGCTGGATAAATATTAGACATATCGGATGATGTTTAGGTCTAATTGCAACTTAAGATTTATAGTTATTCTGAAGTCCATTAAAATTTCGCATCTAGGTTCAGGACACCAATATTCTACATGTAACCTGAAGTGATTCTGAACATGAACCAAACAATTGGATTCAGTTTAATAAAAGTACGTCCTTTGAATGTAGTTCAAGTTGCTCTACCAAATATCGCTTTAGTTTATTGCAGCTGATTTGAGAACGTATGCCAATTAAGTCCACCTATTTCTAAACTACATTTACTTATTTAAGGATACTAGTAGCTCACATAGTGAATACAAATGTTTACATTTTAGCGAAAGTTACCATTTTGTTTAAAACTCTAGGTAGCATAATGCTTCTCCAAATAACACTACGCATTCATGATGTGTCGGGCTCTGCTTTTGATAAGTTCGTCAAGTAACAAATGTTAGCGTGTGCGTTCCGAAAGCAAAATTATAGGGACTGAGCCACACGATTCAACAGTAGGCTTCCAGCAGAAAAGCATGATTTCTTTAGCAGTCAAAAGACGAGTGATCTTCTAGCATCAAATAAACTACAGACGACTTGAGTGTATTTAACGCAGTCGAACTGAAACCGTTCTTGATAATAATTAAGCCAGCCAAGCAATCGTTTTTATTTGCACACATCCTGGTTAAAATGTATTGGGTCGCATTCCGTATGCAAATGACAGTGTGGCCTTATCTCATTGATTTACCATGGATGCTGGGAGTGCCGTGCTTTAGCTCTACGCGGGAAAACTAAACATAGATACATTTGACGAAGCAAAATGATAAGTCTTATTGCACTTCATTCAATTTAGTTTACAAATTTTACCAAAATTACGAGATTAGTATTTAATCGAACACTTGACCAAGAAGCTAACAAACAAATCGTCAATAATACAACTGAAGAGTAAATTCAGTGCAATCACCTATTTGTGCCTGCATTTAGAATGGTTAATAATTTTTATTATTAGCAAATTTTTAGTATCTTATAAGGACGAGTCGGACTGAGATGGGTTTAACTTAGGGTTGAGCATGGGGGAGGAGGGTTGGTGGGGGGGGAGGGGGAGGGGGGGGGGGCTGGGGGAGGGGGGGGGGGGAGGGGGGAGGGGGGGGGGGGGCGAGGGGGGGGAGGGGGGGGGGGGGGGGGAGGGGGGGGGGGAGGGGGGGGGGGAGGGGGGGGGGGGGGGGGGGGGGGGGCGGGGGGGGGGTGGGGGGAGGGGGGGGGGGGGTGGGGGGGGAGGGGGGGGCGGGGGGGGTGGGGGGGTGGGGGGGGGGGAGGGGGGTGGGGGGAGGGGAGGGGGGAGGTGGAGGGGGGGGTAGGTGGGGGTGGGAGGAGTGGAGGGGGGGGGGGGGGGGGGGCGGGATGGGGGGGGGGGGGGGAGGGGGGTGGTGGGGGGTGGGGGGGGGGGGGGGGGGAGGGTGGGTGGGTGGGGGGCGAGAGGCGGTGGGGGGGGTGGGGGGGGGGGGGGGGGAGTGGCGGTGGGGGGGGGGTGGGGGGGGGGGGTGGGGGGGGGGGGGGGGGGGGGTGGGGGGGGGGGGGGGGGGGGGGGGGGGGGGGGGTGGGGGGGGGGGGGGGGGGGGGGGGGGGGGGGGGTGGGGGGGGGGGGGGGGGGGGGGGGGGGGGGGGGGGGGGGGGGGGGGGGGGGGGGGGGGGGGGGGGGGGGGGGGGGGGGGGGGGGGGGGGTGGGGGGGGGGGGGGGGGGGGGGGGGTGGGGGGGGGGGGGGGGGGGGGGGGGGGGGGGGGTGGGGGGGGGGGGGAGGGGGGGGGGGTGGGGGGGGGGGGAGGGGGGGGGTGGGGGTGGGGGGGGAGGGGGGAGGGGGGGGGGGAGGGTGGGGGGGGGGGGGGGGGGGGGGGGGGGAGAGGGGGGGGGGGGGGGGGGGGAGGCGGGGGGGGCGGTGGGGGGGGGGGGGGGGTGGGGGGGGGGGGGGGGGGGGAGGGGGTGGGGGGGGGGGGGGAGGGGGGGGGGGGGGGGGGGGGGGGGGGGGGGGGAGGGGGGGGGGGGGAGGGGGGGGGGGGGGGGGGGGGGGGGGTGGGGGGGGGGGGGGGGGGGGGGGGGGAGAGGGGGGGGGGGGGGGGGAGGGGGGGGGGGGGGGTGGGGGTGGGGGGGGGGGGGGGGGGCGGGGGGGGGGGGGGGGGGGGGGAGGGTGGGGGGGGGGGGGGGGGTGGGGGGGGGGGGGGGGGGGGGGGGGTGGGGGGGGGTGGGGGGGGGGGGGCGGGGAGGGGGGGGGGGGGGAGGGGGGGGGGGGGGGGGGGGGGGGGGGGGGGGGGGGGGGAGGGGGGGGGGGGGGGGGGGGGGGGGGGTGGAGGGGGGGGGGGGGGGGAGGGGGGGAGGGGGGGGGGAGGGTGGGGGGGGGGGGGTGGGGAGGGGGGGGGGGGGGGGGAGGGGGGGAGGGGGGGGGGGGGGGGGGGGGGGGAGGGGGGGGAGGGTGGGGGGGGGGGGGGGGGGGGGGGGGGGGGGGGATGGGGGGGTGGGGGGGGGGGGGGGGGGGGGGGGAGGGGGGGGGGGGGAGGGGGGGGGGGGGCGGGGGGGGGGGGGGGGGGGGGGGGGGGGGGTGGGGGGGGGGGGGGGGGGGGGGGGGGGGGGGGGGTGGGGGGTTTTTTTTTTTTTTTTTTTGGTGGTTGTTTTTTTTTGTTTTTTTGGTGTTTTTGTTGGTTTTGTTGTTGTTGTTGTGTTTGTTTTTGTTTGTTTTTGTTGGGTGTTTTTTGGTGTGGTTTTGTTGTTTTGTTTGTGTGTTTTTTGGTGGTGTGGTTTTGATTTGTTTTGGTTTTGTTTTTTGTTGTTTTGGTTTGTTTTTGTTGTTGGTGTTTGGGTGTGGTTTTTGTTGGTTGGTTGTTTGTTGGTTGGTTGTGTGTTTTTTGGGTTGTGTGTTTTTTGTTTTTTTTTTTTTTTTTTGTTTTTTTTTTTTTTTTTTTTTTTTTTTTTTTTTTTTTTTTTGTTTTTTTTTTTTTTTTTTTTTTTTTTTTTTTTTTTTTTTTTTTTTTTTTTTTTTTTTTTTTTTTTTTTTTTTTTTGTGTTTTTTTTTTTTTTTTTTTTTTTTTTTTTTTTTTTTTTTTTTTTTTTTTTTTTTTTTTTTTTTTTTTTTTTTTTTTTTTTTTTTTTTTTTTTTTTTTTTTTTTTTTTTTTTTTTTTTTTTTTTGTTTTTTTTTTTTTTTTTTTTTTTTTTTTTTTTTTTTTTTTTTTTTTTTTTTTTTTTTTTTTTTTTTTTTGATTTTTTGGTTTTTTTTTTTTTTTTTTTTGTTTTTTTTTTTTTTTTTTTTTTTTTTTTTTTTTTTTTTTTTTTTTTTTTTTTTTTTTTTTTTTTTTTTTTTTTTTT